GTGTGCGTGTGTATGTGTTTCAAAGCTATAACTTGTCCACAGAAGGCAGGACATGCTTGTAATCATGTATGGTATGCCCAAATCCAGTGAGGTTGAGTGTAAGACGTGTTTCTAATTTGAACCATAAAAATTCTATATTTAGGAGTTCAATAATTTTGGGTTATTCTGGAGAGACGATGTCATGCCCCCTCTCACAGTGAGACTCTGCTCTGCTCCACCAGCATTGTGCAGCGGTTTTTTTTTTTTTTTCCTCACAGTCTGTCTGGAGAGCTGAAGCACGTTCCTGAGGTTTAGTGTAAATGTTCCATCCACTACTGCACCAGGAAGTTCAATTCAACATGTAAACTCATATTGTCTCAGTTGGTGTTTTCTAATTTGGATGAATTACCTCTTCACTGAGGAATTAACATTAACAACTGCTGTTACACACTGCACCAGAGCTGTACTGGAGACTTTGACTTGACAGGTGTGAGACTTGACTTTTCTTTACCGCCCGTGTCCGCTGGATTTGTTCCCGCTCCATTGTGATGCCACAGATGATCCCCTTCCATTGTAGAGTGGGGGCCAATGTCCACCTGACTCTTGTGGCTCTACTCTCCACTCCACTATCTTTACACATCAGCTCTGTTTTTCTCAGAAGCACACATGAATGTATATCAATGCCTGCATACTGTATATTATCATGAAATTGCTATTAAACAATGCATTTCGTTTACTCCCGGATACAACTGTGTGAAGCAGGAGTCATCAAACCTTTTAATTCACAGTGAAATCTGTTCATTTCAACTAAACTGCTGCGATCTATCTATCTGTTCGTGGAGGACGAGGTAAATCTGTACTAAATTTTACACATCAAGTCAAACTTAAAATAAGTTTGAAGATGACAAGCAAGCAAGTCTTGACAGTAGCCGGGTTTCCAGTGCAGTTTTCAGCAACATAGAAGCTTTTTTTTTTTTTTTTTTGAAAAGTCGATGAAACACAATTGTGACTTGTCTGTGTTTCCATTCAGTTGTTATGCAGTTGTTGTTTTTTTTCCTTTTTTTCCCGTGCAATATTCCAAGTTAATGTGACAACGGATTTCCAGCAGTTTGTTTCTGGGCAGGCGCCATGACTTGAATGCAAAAAAGAAGTGTTCCATTTCGATTTTTTTGCATAATATTGCTTTTTCTAAGAGTCTGAAAAACCACCTCATGCGAGCATCTAAATTTTTTTGCGACATTTTCCGTAATTCATGTTTCCATTACTTGTTTTTACATTTGCAATTTGGTTGGGTTAATGGAAACGGACCTAGTACTAACCTCGGAGTCCAAAATGAATAAAGCTAGTGCAGCTTTACAGGGGAATCCCACTAATATTCAACAGTGTACACACAAATATTCAACCAACACTTAGTGAACCATTTAATGGGTTAGCGAAACATTGAATCTCAACCAATAACCTGTTACAAATACTGAGTAAATAAAGTGCAACCCCGCCTTTCATACTCACTAGTGAGCTGGTGCCCCTCTTCAATAACTCACTGAATAAAATATTGTACAAACCAAAAACTTCTTAAAATAAATGACAACAGTTGGATTTTTCCCGAGAGTCTCCCGTATTTTGAGGTAACCTCCAACCGGCGGCCTTCCATTTTGTTGTTTCTCCCAGGAAAACTCCCGTAATTTACACGGCCCTCAACCTTTATCATACATAATCTTTACACACACACATCCATATGATTTATGTTTGTCTGAAGTTATCCAGGTTGCCAGATTGTGCAGGACAATACTATTTACTGTGACAAATCACTGCAGCAACAACAAATGGTTAAACTTTGGTCAGTAACGACTTGTTAGAGTCAGGGAAAGAATCATCGCTTGGGTCAAAATGACTACGTTGTTAAGGTTACATGAGCTTTGTCGTCATGGTTATAATTATAAACACATGGTTAAAGCTACAGAACGATAGTTGTCACAGTTAAAAGGAAACAACGTTGACAGGAAACAAATCTTCCAACTTAAATGCTGACGTTTTGTTGCCTCCTTCATCCACTCCAACGTCCCACTGGACTCATTTGCTCCCATCATAATTACAACTGCCTTTAGACGTCTTTGTCATTTGAATGTAATATGTTGTTTGTTTGTTTCTTTTTTTTTCATGAGTTTGGCTTCAATAGTCATGTCTCAAATCTTGACTTGGTAAAATCCTAAAAAAAATACATAATTCAGACCTGAAGGACTTAGAACTTTCTGTCAAGACTTGTTACTTGACTTGGACTGTCCTCTTTAAAAAGCAGCTCTGAGTCGAACCAGAATCAAGAAAAACTGTATTGACCCCCACAGTGAGACTGCATAATTGAATTACCTTCTCCTTTTCATACGAAGAACATCGGGCACCCGATTCTTCCAGTAACCTTCTCTCAAATCCATCAAACCTGTGAGTGACAGTGTAGTGGATGCCAAAAATTCCTGATTGAAAATTCCTCAATGAACCTTGGGGGTGGTGGTGGTGGTGGGGTTTTTTTGGGGGGTGGGGGGGGGTTGGGGGGGGGCTGTTCCATAATACACACAGAGCGATGGTTGAATAGTGCCTGTGAGATGAGCTGAGCTGTACTACAATGGGAGATATTTTGGGTTTTAATAGCTTCTCTGTGCCACTTGTGGTGGGAACAGGTGTGCTGGTTGTTGGGGAGGGAGGGTGGGGGGTCAGCCGAAAGGACAGTGGCAGAATTTCAAAAATCAGTACAAAAGGTTATTAGCACAAGGGGGACAAATCCATGGTGATCACATAATGGTTATATGAATGTACTTGTGTGTACCTGTGTGCTGTTTTACAGCAGTTTCTCACTCCACATTTTACTCATTAAAAGTGAATCTGGACGCTCATGTGGTCAGTGCAGGCAAACTTCACGTCTGAGATCATTAAAGTAACATGTAGGAAAAGATAGACAGCCATAATAAATGGATCAGACCAAACTTTTTCTCCTTTGCTTCCCACAAACAAACAAACTAACAAACTAACAAACACATCATGGGAATATTTTGATATCATTAAAAAAATGTGACAGATTATTAAAAGGCAAGATTTTTCATGGAAAAAAAAATAAGATCATTTTGCTCAGTTGCAGTCGGAGTTCATAACGATTTGCCAGTTGGAGACTTAATTTTTCTAGGGACCAGATTTTTATGTAAACAACTCAGCCTAAATAAATTGGTGCAACTGATCAGAAATTTCTCAGTTTTTTTCTTTTTTTTTTTTTCACTCAGGGTGTAATCAAACGTTTCGTTAGAGTTGGAAAGTGCTGAACTGCTGCTGTTGAATGTGATGTTTGTGTTGTGAGAGTACATGAAAATTTAATGCGTCACCAGGCGAAAGTGTTCGATTTGTTGCCTTGATCTTTAAAACCTGTGGACGGAGCACACAGACTGAGAATGATAGGTTAATATATGCTGTAAATCAGTATAGGCTGACATTATATAGCACTGACATTATATTGATGTAATTTGAGGAAACTACCATAAACTCAGATTTCATTTCCACCTGTTATTATAAGCCTATAGCTGAAATATAAGATATGAAAAATGAGAGGAAAATGAGATAAAGCTGGACAAAGTCACCAGATGTAATTCAATATATTTGAGATACTATTAGTTATAAAAAAGATCATTGTATACTGAATATCCTAATATTAAAAAAAATAGAAAAAAGATTATTTTAAATAAATCTCAATGAAAAACAATTTTCCACTCCCACTAAATAATATTTAAAAAAAAAATCATGTAAAAAGTAATTATAAGTTTCACTGAAAAAATATGTAATTTTAAAATCTGTGTGAAAAAAGTAAAAAACATTATTACAGCTTTATTTTTCATGCTCTTCCTGCCTGGAAACAATACAGATGTGTAATTTAATAATAATAATTTAATCTATCTATCTATCTATCTATCTATCTATCTATCTATCTATCTATCTATCTATCTATCTGTCTATCTATCATAACTATAAGACTAATTTTAAAACTTTACTTACCACTTTATCTTCTTACTCTACCTCTCCTAACAGCACCAAACCGGGAACAAACTATTTGACCTTTGACCTCCAGAATTTGGGAGGCCACCGAGGGATTGTGGGAATTCATAGCATTACATTCCACTCATTGGTCGGTTTGATTTGTTTACTCGTTCAATTAGCAGCAGGTGGCAGTTGTTACATTCTCTACTGTGGGTTTAAACACGACGGAAAATTCAGCTGCGCAAACTTTTTCTCGGCCACAACCTTGAAAAGAAATAAGATATTAAGAAAATAGATGAAGGATTTTGACAAATATCTCAACCTTACTTAATGAAGGGTTGAATTGACTTTTGCAAGGAACAAAAACACAAACTGCACAAGTGCAGATTAAGCTTTTGTGGCAAAATGGTCTCACTGTAGATATGGTCAAAAGCTCCTGCTGAAAAGATAATAAGTGAACCTTTAAGTTAAGATTATTTGACCACACTATTGTTCCCAAGGTCAAGAATAAACTAGATTAACCTTTACTGTTGCTGAGTTAATTGTAACATGACAAACACCTTTAATAAAAACTGAAAATAAGAACATATGCAGCTCAGCATGGCTGCACACTGAAATATAGTTAAATACAGAATTGCGAAGGCAGATCACTCATGTAAAAGTCGCAGAAAATATAAAATGTGTGGCTCATTAAAATCAGATATTTGGCTTCAAAGCCGCTGTTCTTGTAATGTTTTTCTTAAGTCCCTTAAGGCAGAGGTAGAGCTCGGCTTCTGATTGGTGGGAAGGAGGGTTGGGTGTGAAGGGAGGAGGAGGAGGAGGAGGGGGGAGTGAAGGGAGGAGGAGGAACAGGCTGAAGGGGGTTCCCTCCGTTGCGCCCGGCCGCAGTGCAGTGCGTAAAGAGCGCAGAGCGGCGCAGCAGAGAGAGAGAGAGAGAAAGAGAGAGAGAGAGAGAGAGCGAGAGAGAGTGAGAGGGAGGGAGAGGGAGAGGGACTCTCCACGGCCCGGATTAGTGCTGTTTCCTCTGCGTCTGAACAGACCTGCTCTCTCAATGACGCTTGGTTCTTCTTCGTGATTTCTTCGCCATGAGCTGCCTGGATGTGATGTACCAAGTGTTTGGTCCTCAGCCTTATTTCAGCTCCTACAGCCCCTATCACCACCAGGTATGGGTCATATATGCTTCATAAACACTACTTATCTCCACACCAAAGACTTTATATCAGATTCAATGTACAGAAAACTTTAACGTTTAGGTTTTAAAGTCCTCAGAACCGTCAAAACTTCAATCCATGTAAATTCAGGAGATTACGCAGCTATTATCCAAACAACCAGCAGCTAATGATATTGTATTTTAATTATTTAACTCCTACAGCCCTTAACGCCACTTTGTATCCTCTTTATATCTAAACATGTGTTAAACAGCCAGTTGTTCAACACTTAAAACCCTATAAAACGCAAAGCATGGACCGTGTGAACGCGCCACTCGCAGAGAGGTTGTTGGTAGATCGGTTGGTGCGTAAAAGCTTAAAGCGAATGTTCAACTTTCTTTTGGGTCTTCGGTTCACTTAGTTTGCATTTGTACGGATAATAATATAATTCCTCCATGTTAAATAAGAGTGTTGTCGTTGAACAGTTTGTCTGTCCCATCCCTTTAGGCTAATTTTAGAAAAGTAAATGAATATTAGAAACTCTTTTGAGCTGAATTCAAGTCGAAATTGATGGATTTCATGTGTCATATACAATCACACCCACAGCCTGTTTAGTTTTAAGAGTTTATAGAGTTTGTTTAAAGCTGATTTGTATTCTGGATATTTATAGAGTCTCCTGGTTTATTTTAATAACTAGCACAACCGCAGCAATTATTAATTCGCTTAAAGATTTATTCCCTTCTCTAATTTTACAATGTTGAACTAAGCATCTAGTTTAAGATTTAAAAATTGGCATGTTATTATTTTTATTTTATTTTTTTTACATTCATTGTCGCATTAGTGGCCAAATATTAAAGAACCATAGACCTTTTAATTCCACTTTTTACTGTCACATTAGTGCGTGTTGGAGGACTGCATGCCTGTGAGCGTCAGTAGCTGGACTGCAGCAGGTTTTTGGGAGGCCTTTGCGACCTGTTAAAGGGCTTTTTTTCACTCTCTTAAAACCTCTCAGTCAACATTCAGGCATATTTCACATAGTGCCAAAACTCACTTTGTCACCTGAACAGCCGAGGATCAGCAGTCAACTCATGCTATCCACCACATTAGATAATAAACATTTCAATTGTTTTGTTTATTTAATCAATGATTTTTTTTAAATAGTTTGTTATATATAGTTTATTACATGCATTTGTCTTGTTTTGATATAATATAATATGATCTTAAATCTTCAATGATTTATGTCATATCAGTAATTTAAGCAGTGAAACAGTCTGTAGGTTTTTCAGTCATTGTGTGCAGCAGTATAGTGACTGGTGCAAAGTTACAAGGTTTGAACATGACCACAGTGTTTTACATGTTAATATATCTGTGTAGTGACATAGTGATTAATTGTTCATCATTAAGTCAAATCCATCAAATTAGTTTTATTGTGAGCAAAGCATTATTTTTTTTTATTGTCCAATGAAAACCACATCTTTGGGTGGATGTTTAAGTATTAAACTCATTGTGTCATATGCTTTTATATTATTTGTCAGTCTCCCACGAGAGTGTTCAGAAAAGTAAATTCTGTAGATTCATTTTTATGAGGTTTCGATGTCACAGTCTATGCAAACACCTAAAATCAATGCATCTATGAAAAAATGAATGTGACAAATACAATCACTTCTCTTAACCTATGCACATCTGTATATCCTCCCCAGAAACTGGCCTTGTATTCCAAAATGCAAGATCCCCAGGACAGCGGCAGCCGGCTCGGCCCCCTGGGGCCCCCGGCGATCAAAGAGGAGGACAAGGAGCTGCCGCCGGGAGCCGAGTACCTGAGCTCCCGCTGCGTCCTCTTCACCTACTTCCAGGGCGACATCAGCGCCGTGGTAGACGAACACTTCAGCCGAGCGCTCAGCCAGACGACTGCATACCCTGCCTCAAGCAGCCACAAGGCCGTAAGAGGTGTGTGTGTCTTTGTCTGTATGTGTGTGTGTGTGTGTGTGTGTGTGTGTGTTGTCTCTAATTGCATGTCCGTCAGTGTGGAAATGCCTCTACACAGGATTGTGAGCATTATAAGATATTAACTTCCTCCTTTAAGGTTTTAAATTTTTCTTCTATTGTTCCTGTGCTTTGTTTCTTTTTTCTGACTGACAGACTGAGGCTGTTTGTAGCAAACATCATTTCCCAGGATCCACTAGCTTTATCTTGGTTTCTCATAAGATTTCTGCCTGGTGACACTTGATTAAATAATTCTCATGCAAAGATAAAAAATATAAAAAGGAGGACTACTTACAGTGCAACAACCGGCGATGGCTGTATTTATTCATTTCAGTCAAAAGTAACGCAGTTTCACTTTTCAGACTGAGGCTGATGTTTCCAATTCTGTGCTGCAGTCCAGTGTCTTCATACCAGTGAAGATCAACCTCTGAAACAGGATTTAGATTTAATTTGGCAATACCAAAACTCTGAAACCAGAAAACCTCTGAATACTGTGGGGAAAAAAAAGGTGGACATCGAACCAAAATGTGTCAGAAGGAAAAGATGAGGTTGAGTTTTTCCCATAGACGACATTTGTAATAACTATCAATTCTACAAATAGGTGAACAATAACAATAAAGTAAAAATATAATCCTAATCCTTAGATTAGTTAGATTATTTTGGCAGAAATTAATAATATGTATCAGCTGATATATTTTTTTGGTCTTGTCTTGTTGGTCTTTTGTCAGTCTGTTCCTGCTGGAGATTAGTGTTTTATGACCCTCAGCCTTTCTTCCTTTTTGTAAGCACTGTTGTATTTTATATGTTACCAGCCATGTAACAGAAAAGGGAGAGGAGGTGTATTTTGTTTGACACTCAGTTGGCAGTTTCACTGCTGGCCTTGTTTTTTTTTTTTTTTATTGAAATATAAAGTAGAAAAAAAAAGTGAGTGAGTTGGTTTAAATAACATTTTTATGTAAAATGTGCAAACGTCCAAAAAATGCTGCTCGCCTCTCTGATCAGTCAATGTGAAATGGGCACCCCCGAGGCAACGACAGAAACCGGAGATAAAACGGCCGGTAGTCAAGCTAGCTTCCAGAGACAATACATTGCTGCCACAAGAGGGCAGTAAAGTACAACATGGAGGCAAACGGGCAATATCAGATCGTTTACGGGACAGACGCAAAAAAATGGGACAGCACAGTGGAAGTGATGTCTCTCCTTATATCTGTTGTAAGGAGAGACATCACACAGACTTCTGTATCATTCTAACTGATTTCTATTTTTAGTTTTAACTGGTCAAGCCCTGCTCGCCTTGCTTGTCTCTACGACACGCCGCTGCTACTATTATTTTCCACAAATTTTTAAAATTTTATTATTTGAAGTGACTTAAATTATTTAAAAATAGGAATCATTCATCTTGGAGAGGTGTGAAATATTTTTGGAGTGCTGCATATTTTTTTTTTAGCAACTCTTCTTTGATTAATTTAAACTCATTGCACAGTTAACATGATTTCCTAGGACTTATGTTTTTTCATATTCCTTTTAGTGATACTGTGTCTCGCGTTGTGTTCAAGTGACTCTCAACTAAGGGTTAGTTTTATTATTCAATAATCAGATAATCAGCTAATTGTTTTGTCCATAAAATCTCAGGAAATTGTAATCTCAAAAATTGTCATCTGAATTTTCCAGATCTCTAAGGTGACGTCTTCAAACTGTTTGTTTTTTGACCCACAGTCAAAAACTGCAAATATCTGGAACTTTTGCTGTTTGTTTTAAATGATGAATTGATTATTCGAATTTTTGCAGATTAGTTCTGTAAAATTAGAGATGAATAAAACATTTAAACAGTTTTAAAATGAGAGATCAGGTAGTAAGTAGGTGGACATTGTCATTAGAATTTCCTGTTAATTCCTGTCAACCTGCTTTTTTCCCCAAAGTCAAGGATGAACTTCAAACCCAGGCTTTTAACTTGAATGTGCTGCAATTAGTCACTTTAGGTTTTCTTGGAAAGTAAACGATCTTACTGTGTAAAGTGAAGGGGTGGATTTCTGTCTCCTCAGACGGATCATTCCCGATGAGCCAGCGAAGTTTCCCTCCTTCCTTCTGGAACAGCTCCTACCAGCCGTCGGTCTCCTCCACACTGGGCAGCGCTCTGTCGGCTTCCCACACAGAGCTCTCCTTCCCCGGGGACCCGTACTCCTCCGCCTCCCTGCATAGCCACCTACACCAGCCCAGCCCGGACACCTGGCACCCGTCCCACCACCACCACCACCATCACCACCACCCTTACTCGCTAGGGGGCGCTATAGGCAGCCAGAGCTCGGCATACTCACGCCCGGGGGTTCACGAGATGTACGGCACAGCGTTCGACCCGCGCTACGGCTCGCTGTTGGTGCCGTCAGTGAGGCCTCACCACCGGCTGACGTCCGGCAGCTCGGTACCGGGGCCCAGCACCTCACCCTGTGAGCTCAGGGGGAAGGGGGAGTCAGGGACGGGGGCGAGCTGGAGTGGGGCCTTCACCGGAGCCGGAGCAGAAATTGGACTCAACATGGACACAGGTATTGTCAATTTTCCAGATCAAGTCAATTTTATTTATAAAAACTAAAATCACAAATTTGAGGAAGGAAGAGGAAGCGTTTGGTCAAAACTAACTGTTAGTTGACAGCTTACAGGACTGTTGGATAGCAACATAGCACCTGAGAGGCTGTTGTAGGGTTGCAAAGTAAATTTGGTGAATTTTTTTTACCTGGTCAAATGAATCCAAAAATGATTCAAATCACTTTTTGCCTGAAGCGCTCACAGCTCAGCCCAGCATGGACCGGATGTTCTGACCTTTTTACAAGGGTGTCGCAAGTTGGTGTCGCTCGGCTTTAAACGGGGTCACGAAATGACAAGGTTAGGAACTCTGATCTAGGAAAGAAGAGTTGAAAGATTTTGAAATAGACCTGTCTTAGTTGTGAATCCAGCACTGAGCAGCTGTAGCTGTTCCGATACCTTGCAACCATTCCCAGTGTACCCAGGATGTTTGGAGCCTCCGGTAGATTTACTCTTGGTGAGAGCTGCTCCACTCAAACCCAGGTAGCACTATAGTAACTCAAGGTGTAAATACAGGCGTTAATCCACATAAATTATCTGATATGTGTCAGTTTCTTTTGCCTTAGAGAGTATTGGAAAGTCTAGAACAGCAGCAGATGTATAAGTATAAGTTTCCGTCGATGTTTGATCATGTGTTTCTCACAGGGACTGGGTGATGCTGGTTACTGACATTATAAGGTAGAGAACAGGCATATCTATGGAGTGTCAGTGACTGGAGCTAGATTTAATTAAAATTGTGATCAAGCAGGATGAAAGAATGGAAATCTGTGATTTCATGTATTTACAAGATTAGGGGATTGACAGGTTGAACTTACAACAGGGATGTGTTAATTGATTTTAAAAGGCTAGAATTGTTCAATTGTTTTTAACAGATTTTCTCTGTTCCACATTGACACACACTGGAACTTTCTCGCTTGTTTGGGCTGACTTTGAACTTGGCAACCCTCCTGTCAAAAAGCACAATCATTCAGAGAACTAATAAAATAAAATGAGCTGTTGTAGTATTTGGCTAGAATTAAAAAAAAAAAAAAGTTCTTTGTCTGTGACTCACAGTATCAGATTAAAGGAAAATCACCATTATACATTTAGTGTGGCCACGTGAGAAAGTAACAGCTTCAGTGTGAGAAGCAGAATTGAATAAAAGCTCTACTTCTCTGCCTCAGATCAACTTACCACAAGTGGTTTGAAGCAACAAACTGACTGTCAATCAGCACCTTAACACCAGCTGTCAACTTCCTTTTCTCTTGCGGTCCTGCTTTCATCCCCTCTCCGCCTCGGGCAATTCCTCCTGCTTTTATCAACAAGACATTTGTGCTTCTTATTCTAATCTCTCTATTCTTGCCTCTTCCTCCACTGCCTTCTCTTTCCTTTTCCTCCTTTCTTTCCTACTCTCAGGTCTACAGGCACAGGATAAGAGCAAGGATTTGTATTGGTTTTAGAGACTCCTCATACCACACACACACACACACACACAAATACAAACACACTCACACGCACACACACACACACACACACACAGCCCTTCTCTCTCCTACTTTAGCTGTAGCCTCTTCCTATCCTCCACCCCTGCTCTACTCTGTTGCTGTGCTGCTGTTATGGGATGACTGACAGAGAAACGTGACGGCAGTTTTGTGCTGTAACGGCTTCTGGTCTACTTGCAGCTCTGTGTTACGGTGGACTGTGCAGCAGCAGCAGCAGCAGCAGCAGCAGCAGCGCAGCCCTGCTGAGCTGAACGCTGGCAGTGCGGATACAAAAGCGATTGCGTGGAAACAAAAAAAAAAGAAAAAAAGAAAAGTGGACTCGCAGAGAGGAGCAAGAGAATCTGATCTGATCTTGACGGATGTGAACAAAGACTCAGAGACTCTTTGTGCTTCTGTAACAGGCAGGGACAACATTCCTAAACTGGAAAAAGTCTGGGGACAGACGGACAGAGACACATGTTGTGTTGTCAAACTCCAAAGACGAGCGCTTGAAGGACTTGGCAGGACTTGCCTCGCTGGGACAACTGGGCTGCAGACACTGGGAGTGTGTTATGGCTGGAGGAAAGGCCATGTTGGTGTTGAGGAGGCTGCACAGCGAGAATCTGGCAGACGGAGGAGTCCAGACACTTCACATACACACGGTTTACATGGATCCCTTGGTCATTATGTTATGGCACAGTAAAAGTTAAACAGTTTTGCATGGTTTTCAAGTGACATCAAAATATATTCAAGTCATGATTTCACAGGTTTTTCAAGCAACCGGCTACAAACTACTTTTGTGTCCCAATTCCATACGATGTACAAACTCTAAGCAGGTTAATAAACTCTACGCACGCTGAATCCTCTTGATTTATGACTGTGCAGTTGCCCCACAATGCAGTGCACAAGTGAAGCGGGGGAGCTGCTGACAGCTGCAAAAATTTTTTAAATAGACTGGTGACACAGCTCCAGGAAGGTCTTTAAAAGAAAAAAAAACACAGAATATTGTTAAGTGTTTGCAGTTTGACCAACATCCATCGAGGTGCGTACTGTACTGCTTCCATTCCCGTCAGTACAGAACGTTCTTAACATTAAGTTTTGTTCACATTGTACTATTGCAGTTTCTACATACAGTGGTGCCCTACCCTATTAATATGTAGTATGGAATTGGGACACAGTTGTCTCATTAAGATGTTACACTGACAACACGGTTTGGTGATTTGCGAGTCAAATAATGTCTTGACCACTATGTTAAAATGTATTATTTTCTATTTATATTTCATGTTGGAGGTCCGGACTGTGAGCGGAAATAGATTTCCCAGCACTAAATAAATTTAGTGCTGGGCAGAAAGTTGACAGACAATCATTTTGATAATCAGTTAATTTTTTAAGTCTTTTATCAGACACTAAAAATTTGCTGCTTGAAGCTTCTCAAACATGATTTTCTTCCTCTGTTTTATATGATTCAATACTTTTGGGACTGTTGGTCATACAAAACAAGCAATTTAAAAAATGTCACCGTCGGCTCATCTGACATTTTCCCTTATTTTATTTTATTTTATTTTTTAAAGTTTATACACAGAATTCAACTGAAAAATAATAGATTGATTAATAGATACGGAAAATTGTTACTTGCAGCCCTAATTTAAAGCTACAGAGCTACAGTATGTGACTTTTTTGTTTTTTAACCCCGACCTATTGAACAGCAGCGGTGCAGGGATTGAGCCTCGGCCTCCTATCCAATCACAGAGAGCCATGGTCAGAGTTGGGAGCTCACGGCTGTCAATCAATAACTGAACTGCTCCTGGTCTACGAGGCTTCAAGCTAGCATTAGCTGCTGGAAGGCGTTGCTGTGGCTGAGTCACAGGTTAGCAAGCTCCTGATTCCTGCACTAGCTGAGACGACGAGGATGTAGGTGAAGGGCTGGGCGGAGCTACAACAGCTACAATCTGCACAACTTGCAGGTTGTAGCTTTAAAATTTATTCAAACGTTTTAACTTTACATCTTTTACATCTTTTGACCTGTAAATTAGAAAAGAAACATCCTCACTGTGCAATGTTGACACCTGTTTTAGTCATATTCCTCGGTCATTATATTACACAAAGATAACGGATGTCACAGTTATGAGAACAGCCAACTGTGTCCCAAATATATATATATATATAGATATATATATATATGTATATATAAAGAAATAGCCTCAATAACCTCAGGTGTTTTTTTGTTTTTTTTGATTGGGAAATGCACATTTGACAAAAACACTGCTGAAAAAACAAACCATTTCCTTTGTTGAATATCATCAACTTTTAGGTCAGTGTAAAACTGTTTAATGGGCCAAACTGGGTGAACAGAGCCTTTAACCTGCCGCTGATACAATGAGGATGAATATGTTGATGAGAGGACGCCCACCTCAGCAGCAACATGATGCTAACTGGAGCAACCACCGCCACCACGTCTCTACGCTTAACCTGCCGAGAGGACCGGACTGTGCTAACCCGCTCCGTCCTGGACAATTTATGGTGAAAGCAGATATTTAAAAAAAAAAAAAACAACAAAAAAAACACACATCTCCATGGCTGTGTCAACAAGAGAAATATAAACCTCACACCAATGGCTGCTGAGAGAGAGAGAGAGAGAGAGAGAGGAGGGGTCCCTCTGATGAATGAGGAGAACGACGGCTATTTGAAGCCACTTGACTCTTTCTCGCCTGCTCCCCTGCAGCTGTCAACGACAACTGCTCTTCAACTCAGTACACACACACGCACACACACACACACACACACATACACAACACACACACACACACACACACACACACAACACACACACACACACACACACAGTCCCCCTGTGCAGTGTTCAAGCCAGGCCTATGAACTTAATAAAGGGAGCATTTAGTGCGAGGTGGATCCTGCTCCACTGGGACAACTGGTGTGATATAAGGGAGCAGAGAGCAGTGGAGACACACACTAACACACACATATACATACACACACACCTGTCAAATAGTAGTTTGTTAGTGTGTATGTACGCACAGGATACATCAATATTTCTATACTTACAAGGACCAAATCAGCACAGAAAGACGAAGAAAATTCAGCCGGTGGCTACTCATTTTTTGGGATTTGATAATAATTGGGATTAGGTCTAGATTAGTATTAGTCATTAAGATTAGTCTTAAATGATAATGCTGGCATTATCTTTTATTTATCAACAAATCCTCTGAAAAGACCAAAACCAATGAATTTTCCTGCTGGCAGATATTTTCTTCTGTCCCTCTGCCTTTGACTAAAAGATGTGCTCGCATTTGCGGATCAGTATGAGCCGTTTCATTCATGCTTTTTAATCACTGGCACATTCATTCGCTGTTAGGCAACCAGCTGACTAGGAACAAACATTTTCATACACGTACAGTTCGATTATAAAGTGATCAATGTTCAATTACTGACAGGCCCGTAACACCTTCGTGCCAACACTTTTTAACCCAAACTTCCTCCTTATGTAATGAACAATTCCTTCATGTAAATTGTATTTGACTGAAATAAGTGACGTGTCTTTAATATTTTCTGGATGATTTAGAGTTCATTGCATAGAGACAAACAATGTGAGCACAAACAATATTTAGTTACTTGATAAATTTCACAAGTTTTTGGTGTTTTTTATTAAATAATAATAATAATAATAATAATAATAATTTACGTAAAGAAGTTCAATAATAAAGAAATCATTCGATATAGCTAACAAAGGTCCTTTTAAGTATCGTAAAACAATCATTTGAGAGTGTGTGTTTGTGTGTGACTCTACTCGACGGATGCTGCAGCCGTTCATGTGAAACTGTGATATGAACTATTTCGTCATCTCTTCATTTCTTCCAGGTACACAGGCCTTCTGTAAATCAGCAGTCCCAGCATGCAGCAGTGTTCTATGTGAATATATTAATATATTGCCTAAAGTATTGTTTCTGTTGATCTCACTCCAGTGTAAAGTCTTTGTATGTATTTGCTGTATGCCTGTAACTATAAAGTAACAGCACTGTCGTGCTCAAAGGTGAACCTGGTCATTTTTTTGGAAGCAAAGGCTGAAAAAAAAGGGAAATCTTAATCTATGAAATACAATAAAAACAGTTAAAGTATAGTTTTACCACTGAGTTAGGTTTTGCTACGCTCCCATTATACCCTCAATTTTACTTATTTGTCTGTTTATTTAACTCAGAAACACTGTTACAATAGAAGAAGAAATGGTACAGATGCACAGGCAACCTAACCACCAAACAGGTTGTTTGTCCCTACTCTTGCATATGACCCATAGGAGCCTGGTAATAGGCTGGTGTACCGGACCTTTGCCATGATGCTAACAATAATAAAACACAGTTTAGGTTGCAGAACAGTCGTGGTATGGTTAGTTTTAGGCAGTAAAACTGTTTGGTTAGGTTTAGAAAAATATCATAGATAAAACACGTACTTCCTTAAGATTAGAGGACCTTCGTCATCATGGTTAAGGTTGAGTTCGTGAAATGGCCATGAAGAAAAGAAACAACGTTGACATTCAGTTTCAAACAGGAAATAAACAAAGTCCCTTGATTTGTCTATCCACCCAGCCACCCTGACCTCCTAATACAGACTCGACCACTAACACCTAACAATAAAATCTAAGTGGGTCATAATAAGCTGCTGGTGCAGGAGGACAGTCTCTATCTGTAGCTTATTCGCGGGCCCCATCGCCGCGTAGGTTTTTATTCAGGTATATTGTATGTATTGGGGAAGTAGAAACAAGTTGTGAACTAAAAAATAACATATCATGATCATATCATGAACTCAACAATGTTATTCATTGGGAGTTGTGTTTCCAGCCACCTGATGAGTAGAAGTCCAATATTCATTCAGTTTTAGCTCCGTCTTTGATCTCCACCAAAAAATATCTGGCTATTTAGCTGTTAAATTCTCAGCTGTGTTCACCAGCTAGTCTCTCACTGAGTCTGACTGCTGTTTGCTGCTGAGCAGATAGCATACAGTGGGTTTTTAGGGCATTTTCTCTGGAAACGACGCTATGAAACAATGAGGGTGAATCAAAACAGTAAAGTTGTGGTCCAGAAAGCTAAACAATGAGCTGAAACTCACTATAAAGCTGTGTAAAGCCGAACACAGCCACAGATTCAGGTGATAATTCTCTGTGGGTTCATCGCTACAAGCCCCACCTCACCCCTTAATGTTGAGATTTCAAAGTTGAACAAACACACAGCACTGAAAACCTGACTTATTTGCAGAATCAGAG